TGTGTGTGTATGTGTGTGTGTGCCTGTGTGTGTGCCTGTGTGTGTGTGTGCCTGTGTGTGTGCCTGTGTGTGTGTGTATGTGTGTGCGTGTGTGTGTCCCAGGCAAAGGCGGCCCAGCGTGATCCTCTCACCCACCCTCATTTCCCTCCCACCTGGGGCAGAGATTCATAGCAGACAGTTCTGGAATGTTCCACCCCAGCGGACAACCTGTCTAAGCCTGGGGGGGGCAGCCTCAGCAGGATTTGCAGTTCAGTTGCTCTCTCTACCCCAGAAACCTGCACCCCAACACCCGCCACAGCCTGACCCCCTTCCCGCGGGTTCACGGCTGCCCCCCCAAATAAATGGAAGGAAGGAGGGAGGGAGAGGTGGGGGGAGGGAGGAAGAAAGGAAGGAGGGAAAAGGAGAGAGGGATGGAAAGAGAGGGAAAGAGACAGGCAGGAAGAAAGGAAAGGAAGAGGGAAGGAGGGAAGGAAGAAAAAGGAAGGAGGGAAGGAGAGAGGGAAGGAAGAAAGAAAGGAAAGTAGGAAGCAAAGAAGGAAGGAGGGAAGGAAGGAAGAAATGAAGGAAAGTAGGAAGAAGGGAGGGAAGGAGAAAGGGATGGAAAGAGAGGGAAAGAGAGAAAGGCAGAAAGGAAGCAAAGGAAGAGGGAAGGAAAGAAGGAAGGAGGGAGGAAGGAGGGAAGGAAGGAAGGAGGAAGGAGGGGAGGTAAGCTACCTCTTCTCTGTCTGGTTAGTTAAATGTATTCTCCGCGTATTAAACGCCGTGGGCATTGTCCTGGGTGCAGGTGAGCTTTCTTCCGCAGGTGAGTATTTTAAAACTCAAAGCAAGCCCGACACGGTGGCTCCCGCCTGTCATCCCGGCTACCCAGGAGGCTGAGATCTAGAGGATCGCGGTTCAAAGCCAGCCTGGGCAGGAAAGTCCATGAGACTCTGATCTCCCATGAACCACCAGAAAACCAGAAGTGGCGCCGTGGCTCACATGGTAGAGCGCCAACCTTGAACTGAAGAGCTGAGGGACGGCGCCCAGGCCCTGAGTTCAAGCCCCAGGATCAGAACACAAAACCAGACAACCCCCAACTTCAAAGGAACGAGAAGTTGCCCATTCCCCACACCTAATGGGTTTCCGAAACATCCTTGCAAATGAACGCTGTGTCATTTCCTGTACCGGATCCTGTCTTCCATTACCCCCCTCCCCTCCCCTCCCTTCCCCCTTCCTCCTCTTTTCTCCCTCTCTCCCCACTTAATTATGAGGACAGGTGTTTGTTCTCTCCATTTAATGATGGCTCCAGCCTCATTTTGTTTTTGTCAGTTGTGGGGCTTGAACTCAGGGCCTGGGCGCCGTCCCTCAGCTCTTCAGCTCAAGGTTGGCGCTCTACCACTTGAGCCACAGCACCACTTCTGGTTTTCTGGTGGTTCCTTGAAGATCAGAGTCTCACGGACTTTCCTGTCCTGGGCTGGCCTCGAACCGCGATCCTCTAGATCTCAGCCTCCTGTGGCCGCTGGGAGGCCAGGCTGGAGCCGCTGGGGTGTAGCTCAGTGCTTTGTAAAACTGGGTGCTGAGCACTCTTCTGAAGACTGAGTTGTCAGCACCCATGCAGGGAGGCCCGTGATCGCACGCGCACGCAGCCACGACGTGTTAGCACTTTATTATTACTCCTGGACAACTACACGGGGTTTTTAACCTCTTCCCTCCCCCCCCCGACAGGTTTAACCTGGACCCCGAGTGCAAATGTACGGATGACAGGCTGTGGGAGGCGCTGGAGATTGCGCAGCTCAAGAACATGGTCAAGTCTCTGCCCGGAGGCCTGGGTAAACCTTCCAGAAAAGGGCTGTGCATGCCACGGCAGCTAACGCAACCCGAGAGCGCAACTGCGGCTTAGGTTAAAAAAACCCATCACAGCCTCCTAGCAATAGCCGCCGGTGTGCTCAAACAATCCCACCGCAGGGTATTTCCATTTACTTATTTGTGCCAGTCCTGGGTCTTGAACTCAGGGCCTGGGCACTGTCCCTGAGCTCTTTCACTCAAGGCTGGCGCTCTACCACTTGAGCCACAGCTCCACTTCTGGTTTTCTGGTGGTTCATGGGCGATCAGAGCCTCTCAGGCTTTCCTGACCCAGCTGGCTTTGAACCACGATCCTCCTCTCTCAGCCTCCTGAGTAGCTGGGATGACAGGCGTGCGCTACCGGGGCCGGCTGGTGACGCCTTCCCTCTCTTCTTCCTCCCAGACGCCATGGTCACCGAGGGCGGGGAGAACTTCAGCGTGGGGCAGCGGCAGCTGTTCTGCCTGGCCAGGGCCTTCGTCAGGAAGAGCAGCATCCTCATCATGGATGAAGCCACCGCCTCCATCGACATGGCCACGGTGAGCCTGCGCTGGTCCGGGAGAGGACACTCTACCATCACAGCCCGCCTGCGTCCCGTGAACACTGAGCCACAAGCCGGGCGCCGGTGGCTCCCGCCTGCCATCCCAGCCACTCAGGAGGCTGAGATCTGAGGATCGTGGTTCAAGGCCAGCCCGGGCAGGAAAGCCTAGGACACTCTGATTTCCCAGGATCAGCCCCCCCAAAAAAGCTGGAGGGGGGCTGTGGTTCAAGTGGTAGAGCGCCAGCCTGCTGCGCAGAAGCTCAGAGACAGCGCTCAGGCCCTGAGTTCAAGACCCACGACTGACCAAAACACACACACACACACACACACACACACACACACACACACACCAGAGAAGGAAAAAGGAAAGAAGAAGGAAAGGTGTGTCAGGAGCACTTACCGTCTGCTTGTTTTCCTTTGCTTCGCCAGGAAAATATTCTGCAGAAAGTGGTGATGACGGCTTTCTCGGATCGCACGGTCGTGACCATTGCGGTGAGTACTCCCGACGAGGGTCATGCATTTCTCTGGAAATTTCCTTTTCTTTTGACCTGCGATTCTATGAGCTTCGAGTCTGCACAGTTAAAATATACTGCTGGTGCATGAGGCCTTTTTTTTTTTTTAATGTTTCTGTCCCTGTGCAAAAGAAAAAAGAAAGGAAAGCAGAAATGATGACTCGATTCTGAAAGCATTACTCTTTCCTCAACTCTGCACCCCATTACCACCAACTGACAATAGCAACACATCCCGAGTCTCAGGACCCCCGCTAGCCAGCAGCGAATTCTCTCCACGAATGATCTTTCCCAGCGTCTGATGGTCTGATGAGGAACTTCAGAAACCAAATTCTTAATTTTTCCGGAGCCTTCTGCTAGTATTCACCCTTGTGTGATAATCGGGATGTTTTTCATTCACTTAGCTGCTTTTCTTTAAATAAATAAAACAACAAGCTGGGTACTGGAGTTCTTGCCTAGCTACTCGTGAGGATCTGGGTTTGAATCCAGCCTGACCAGAAAAGGCTGTGAGACCCTCGTCTCCAGTGAACCAGCAAAATACCAGAAGTGAAGGTGTATGGCTCAAGTGGTAGAGCACCAGCCTTGACCTCAAAATCCAGGCAAGAGTGTGAGCTCCTGAGTTCAAGCCCCAACCTGGCACAATAGGTAGATAGATAGATGGATGGATGGATGGATGGATGGATGGATGGATGGATGGATGGATGGATGGATGGATGATAAATGGATATATGGATGATATAGCTGGATAGATGAATAAGATGGATAGAGATAACAAGTAGATAAATAGATGAATGGATGGATATGAAAAATGGGTGTATGCATGATATAGAGAAATAGATAAGATAGATGAATGGAGGGATGGATGGATAGATGATAAATGGATTGATGGATGACAGCTAGATGGATTAGCTGGGTAGATGGATGTAGATTGTAGATAGATGGATGAATGGATGGATGAATAGATGAGTAGATAGATGATAAATGGATGGATGACATAGATGGATGGATGGATGAATATAGATGATAAGTAGATATAAAAATGAACAGATGATGGATATAGAGATGGTAGATAGATAGATAGATAATCTCTTATATAAGGGAAAGTAATTTCTCTGTCTCAGCTTGTACCAACCACATAGAAAACTTACTTGAGGCCTGGTGAGTTAATATTGTCTCTGACTTTCAACAGAACACGGTTTTCTTTGCTGCTGTTCAGATGTGGAACTCCCCCATTTCCGATGTAAACTTTTACGGCTGCACAGATCCCGTTCTTAACCTGCTCCCTCCGTCCTGTCTTCCTCCTGCTGACCCTCCTCTCTTCTCTGCGTTTCTGGTTTTGTCTTTTCCCTTCTCTCTCCAGCATCGAGTCTCTTCTATTGTGGACATGGGCCTGGTGTTAGTCTTTTCCCAGGGTATTTTAGTGGAGTGCGATTCGGGTCCCAATCTGCTCACCCATAAGAACGGACTCTTTTCCACTTTGGTGATGACCAACAAATAGACTGGCATGATCTACTTTGCCGAGTACCCCTCTTTTCTGGTAGTTATCTGGAGGGGGGAGGGGGGAGAGGACTCAGTCTGCCATTCTAGAGGGGGCTGGGAGCGGGGAAGTAACTGGGTGAAGCTGGGAGGTCTCTAGTCAGCTCAGCCAACTACTCTTGCACGTAGCATTTCTTGTCATTCAATACGAAATTTGCTCATAAATATATGCAGATCACATGTAAATATATGCAAATGCATGCAAATGTATGCGCGCGTGGTGGTGTTCATACATCCTGGGGACCCGATTTATCTCCATCCCCAGGACTCATTTCTCAGTCCTGTAAGGATGTGTTACAGGCAGCCTGATTGGCCGGGCTTCAGTGATTCAGGGCTATTAATCCTAGCTACTCAGGAGGCTGAGATCTGAGGATCACAGTTCAAAGCCAGCCAGGGCAAGAAAAGCCCATGAGACTCTTATCTCCAATAAACCACCAAAAAGCCAGAAGTGGAGTTGTGGTTCAAGTGGTAGAGCACTAGCCTTGAGTGAAAGAGCTCAGGAACAGCGCCCAGGCCCTGAGTTCAAGACCCAGGCCTGCACACACACACACACACACACACACACACACACACACACACACACACTACAGCTCTGATACAATTCCAGCATACTGTGGGTATTTAAAAATATGTAAATGAGTGGTCCATTCAAATAAGAGAAAGAAGGAGACTTTGTTTCCTGCATTTTCTAGCAGGCCAATGTGAATAAATGCCTGCCAAATGCTTGGCAGCATTTACACATTCCACGGTTCTTGGTTTTTATTGTGCAATGTGTAATATATATAAAATATATATTGTAATATATAATTGTATTTAATAATTGTATATATTATATACTCTATAACATTATAATATAGAATATGTTATATAATTATATTTATAATATAATATACATAATATATACTATAATATAATGTAAACATAATATATAACATAAAATGTAATATAATTATATATTATATTTATATAATGCATTAAATAATATATATTATAGAATATATATTTTTGTAACTTTTATTGTGATTAAGTGATTACATAAATTTCACAGTATTAGGAGATCGTGATACTTAAAGTCACAAACACATTCTAACCAGGAGGCAAATTGTCATTATTATGGTCCATGAAGTTTGTGACTTCTCTGAGCTTTGACAGTACAACGATTTCTTCCACATGGGGTGGGATGTACATTTCTTTCCTTTTGCTTAGTGTTAGCTTAGTGTCATTATATACTATATATAATATATAGTATATACCATATATTATACATGACATATAATTACATAGTGTATACCATATACTATTATATATGATATATAATTATAGCGTGTATATAATTATACATCATATTAGATGCTATATATTCATTACTGATTTTCTTTCCCTTCACAGCACCGCGTTCACACCATTCTCACCGCCGACCTGGTGATCGTGATGAAGCGTGGTAATATTCTAGAATATGACACCCCGGAAAAGCTGTTGGCCAGGGAAGACAGCGTGTTTACGTCCTTCGTGCGTGCAGATATGTGAAGGGCGCCGCCGTAACCTGATTAACGGCTCATTCGCTTGGGAGGCTCCAAACCTCTGCACATGTGTGCACAAGAAGCTGTGTGTGTGTGTGTGTGTGTGTGTGTGTGTGTGTGTGTGTGTGTGCATGCGCCATGACCAGTGCTTGAAGTCAGGGGCCTCTTGCTCTCGATTATTCACCCCACGCTGGCGCTCCACCACCTGCACCACACCTTGTGGCTTTTTGCTGGTTCATTGGAGAGAAGAGTCTCTCAGAGTTTTGTCTTCTCGGGCTGGCGACCAACTGAGATCCTCAAAGCTGGGCCTGCTGAGGAGCTGGGATTATAGGCGTGTGCCACTGGCTTCCGGCTGAGTTGATATTTCCTTTTTTTTTTTTTTGTCTTTTTCAAGATAGTACCACCTTAGCGCCATTATATTTCCTAGAAGCCAAGCCCCTATACGTGTAAGATCGCAGACTGCATTAGGCACTTGTAAGTTACTTGGATGAAGTCAACAGCTGATGCTTATCCATTACTCTAATTCTGTCAAATATCTTCCAAGAATATAATGTGCACACACTACCATTAAACTCTTCCTTGTACAAATAAATTCTTTTTTTTTTTTTTGGCCAAGTTTGTTGTACTTGAAAGCAAATGAAACAAGGACATGTTTTTTAGTGAAAAGCTCCAACTCTTTACCTGCTTCATGGACATATTTTGTTGTATTCATTCACTTCAGCCTTATCGATTTTTTTTTTTTTGGTCAGTGGTGGGTCTTGAACTCAGGGCCTGGGAGCTGTCCCTGAGCTCTTTTGCTCAAGGCTGGCGCTCTACATTTGAGCCACAGCGCCACTTCCATTTTTCTGGTGGTTCATTGGAGATCAGAGTCCCACAGACTTTCCTGCCCGGGCTGGCTTTGAACCATGATCCTCTAGATCTCAGCCTCCCTCAGGGGTGGGCAGATGAACAGAGAGGGAAAGGGTGAACGAATGAATGCTATCTTCTTATACAGCAGAACATGGAGCCAGGTGATTTGAAGGGAGGGGTGAGGCGGGGAGGGAGGAGGGAAGGGGTAGAAGGGGGGACATGGATCAAGATGCAGGGGCTTCACAATCTGCCATGTGAGACTTACCCCTTCTGTACAACTACTGAAAGCTAATAAGAACAAAATTCCAAGCCAAGCCTGGGCTCTGTGGCCCTGGGAGAAGAAAAGATTCTTCTCCTTCAAGGATTGTGATTGATCCTCTGTTAGCTCTCGAGATCCTTCCGAGATTAACTCCAGCCCCTCAGAAGACTTCCCTTAATAACTGACACTCAAGATGGGGGCTTATAATCTCCGGTACCCTGGACACTAAATACTGGTTCCCTGAAGATTAACGGTTATTGTCTTCTTCTTGACTGGTGTGTGTTCCACTATTAATAAGTAGGATTCCTACACGCATTTATTTTTATTTTCACTGCTCACTGGGCCCCTGGAGTCCTTATCTTCAATTCTGGCTTGTGTTTAGTCCATTATTTATTCTCTCCAGTATCTGAGATGGCGTTTATCTCTACAGTGAATGTGTTCAATAAAATATTGGCTTGCATTATGTAATAAATTATGCCTTCTCTTTCCTCAATGATAGAGGGTGGTTTTCCTTCGAATTCTACTTTGTGTCAGCCAAAACTGGTCAATAGATTTTAATAACTGCAAGCCAATACTTGGCCTTGCTTTTGAATTCTGAGGGTCGTGTACTCTACTACTTTTGCATGCACATGCCCCTGTGTGTGTGTGTGTGTGTGTGTGTGTGTGTGTGTGTGTGTGTGTGCTGGTTCTGGGGCTTGAACACAGGGCTTAGGTGCCACCCTTAGCTTTTTCCCAGAAAACTGGTGCTCTACCAATTGAACCACAGGTCCACTTCCAGCTTTTTGCTGGTTCATGGGAGATATGAGTCTCATGGGCTTTCCTGCCTGGGCTGGCTTTGAACCACGATTCTCAGATCTCAGCCTCCTGAGTAGCTGGGATGACAGGCAGGAGCCACAGCAGCCAATAAGGATTTTCCCTGAAGAAGAAAAAAATCAGACTTTCTCCTCTTTGTTCCGACTTGCCTGAATTTTCTAGCATTTTCTAGCATGAATACCCACCATGCAATGAAACGCGATATTGGAAATGCAAGATATCTAGGCTTCTGTCCAACCATGAAGAGGGAGAGAAAAACAAAAAACCAACAACCTGGCAAGCCGAAGAGTTCATGGGAAATTCTTGGCTTAAATAATATTTTAATAAAGCTCAGCTACGTGTGCCAATGAAGCAGGGATGACATCATGATTTATGAGTTAAATATCATGCGAGACTGGTCATGTCTAAGGCCATCTTGAATCAAACACTTGGGGGAAGGGGAGTCACTGGGGGGAAAGAGCAAAGGAAAAATGGTGAACGCAGTTCAGATATGAATAGAGTCTACACCGCATACACTCTGATTAAAAACCAAAAATTGGGGTGGGCAGGTGGCTCCGTGGTAGAGCGCTCGCCTAGCATGCATGAAGCCCTGGGTTCGATTCCTCAGCACCACCTACACAGAGAAAAAGCCAGAAGTGGCACTGTGGCTCAAGTGGTAGAGCACCAGCCTTGAGCCAAAGAAGCTCAGGGACAGTGCCCAGGCCCTGAGTTCGAGACCCAGGACTGGCAAAAGAAAGGGAAAAAAAAGCAAGAAATGCTCATAATAGCAAAGCCACAATCCAGCCCAGGAGCTCATAGTGTTTTGTGCACACAATGAAATGTTACGTTACACAGAATAACCTGGCTACGCTCACGGACAACTACATCAAAAGCAGCCAAGCTCTACCAGGCAGGGAAGGGTGACAGTATGGGGGGGAGTGGAGGGTGAGGAATTTTCTAGAAGGAAGGGTATGTTTTCATAGCCTGGACTTGTAAACTATGTGGGTAGCACCCTACCCCTTGAGCCGCACCTCCACTTCTGGCTTTTGTTGGTGGCTCATTGGAGATAAGAGTCTGGTGGACTTTCCTGCCTGGGCTGGCTTTGAACTTCTGTCCTCACATCTCAGCCTCCTGAGTTGTTTAGCTGGGATGACAGGCGTGAGCTACGGGTACCCGGCTGGCCAAATTGTCATCTACTCTCAGCTCTCTAGGGTGCATCCCAGGGAGCTTTTAGATTTCCTCAACTTTTTACCAAAGGAAAAAACTTTATAAATGCCTAATACTTTTCGGTTGTTATGGGATTACCATTTAGGATTTCCTTTCCTTTGGACAAAACAAGCTACCTGGATCTGAATTCACTATGACCCTCCACTCTTCAGTTCCAGCCTGGAACCTGCTTAGAGGGGGGAAAGATCTAGAGAATGCTTTTTTTTAGGGGGGGGGACTCAGAGAAGTTGTCCACATCCCCCATCCAGAAGAAATTTTATCTTTGAACAGAAGGAAAAAAAAAAACATACTCCAACCAATAATCCTTGACAGAAGGAAGAAAAGCTAAACTAATCTTGGCTTCCTGCGGTACAACAAATCAAACGATCTCTTACGTCGCAGGGCTGCGCTTCCCAGATTCCTCCTGCTGTACTTTTGAAAGGTGGTAGGGGAAAAAAAAAAAAAGCACTCTATGGAAAGTTCTGGAAAATGTCACATGTCTCTTTCCAAGCCTTGGCTATGAATCACTGCTTTTGCAAGGCTGAGAGGGCTTTCGAAATCACTCTTAAGAGCTGAGAGTTTTTATAGCAGGACCAGCCCTGGGAGAAACCACGCTTGCTTTTCCATGTGTGCTTTTTGTGATTTCGGTCCGTCGTGGGGCTTGAACTCAGGGCCTGGGCGCTGTCCCTGAGCCTCTCCCCCCTCGGAGTTGGTTCCTGAGGGCCTGGTGCTTTGGTGATCGACCCTGTCCAGTCCCTCCTGTCTTGGTGAAATGGAGTTAGGTTCAGTCTAAAGTTTGGGTTTTGCTAGAAGGGCGGGAGGTGGAAGGATCCTACTCAAGTCTACGCCATGAGAGGATCATGGTTTCATCTTACCCTTCCAAGAGAAAGAGAGCTGTCTGCCTGTCTCCTCTCCTCCACAGACCCAAACCTTGGAGATTGGGAAGGGAGAGCTACAGCAGCCGCTTAAGTCAGGCCAGCCCTGTTCTAGAATGTTGCAGAAGGCAATGTGTCTTGCTTCCTCTATGGAGAACAAAACTCTCCAAAGCAAACTACCATTAATGTCTTCTCAGACTGGAGCTGTGGTTCAAGTGGTAGAGTGCCAGTCTTGAGCAAAAAGAAAAAAATGCCAGGGACGGCATCCAGGCCTCGAGTTCGAGCCCTGGGTCCAACACACACACACACACACACACACACACACACACACACACACAGACATTCCCTGGAGCAGATCACAAAGATGAGTCACACGGAGGCCCTTGATGCGTGATAAGTTAAAAAAAAAAAAAGTGAATTTCCAACATGTTGCTTTGATTACAAGCGTACGCGATCATTTTTTTATGAAGCTGACTTCAAAGCAATACGCTCCAGAGAGGTTTAAATGAGAACATACAAAGCAAACAGGCCGACCGATGTTCTAGCCTTGAACACGAACCATTTCCATCGTCATCTTGAAGAATCTCTAAATCTTTTAGTCGAACCAACGTGACCTGGAAAAAACCAGAAGTTTCTGGGTGACCAGGCAAAGTCAAACATCATCAGATCCAACACACTCCACCCAGCATCTCAAGAGGGATTCCACCCGCGCGGGTTTGTGTTTGGTGTTTGAAACGTTGAGGAAGACCCCGGTCTTGATGCTGATCGCTTTTCTACTTGTTTGAAAGCATGGGACAAATGTGACCTGCAGAAGCCTGAAACTGGTCCAGCACCTGTGACTCACGCCTGTAATCCCGGCCACACAGGAGGCTGAGATTTGAGGATCAAGGTTCAAAGCCAGCTCAGGCGGGAAACGTCCATGAGACGCTTATCTCCAACAAACAACCCCCCAAAAAAAACTGGCCAGGGAGCTGTGGCTCAAGTGGTAGAGCGCCAAGCTGGAGTTAAATGCTAAGTGAGAGAGAG